CTCTCTCTCTCTCTCTCTCTCATGTTGCTTGTTCTTTCTTTCTTCTATGCCTTTCCATTTTGCAGCATTGTATATTGGGATCCCTTTTCTCTGTAATTCATACTGACTTTCTTTTCCTCTTATGACCACATTTAACATAAAGGCCTGGCTGCACCACAAAGATGTCAAACAGTTGCTCTGATTGCTTGGGAGGGAATCTAAAACAATTGACTCTGGTTGAGTTTAATCAGAGAGGAAGGCTGAAAGCAGGGCAGTGGTTCCAAATTAAATAAAGTGGATGAATATGGTGGTTGTTCAACAGTATTGTCTCTGGGGTTGGCTCGATTTCATTAAAGTTTCAAGCACATGAAATAAAATGAATGAAAGGGACAAAGATCAAAAGGTTATTATAGTTTCCATTGTTTCCACATGAGACAAACTATATGACTCCTACTGGTACGCCATTTAGGGCAGTTGAAAGTCTTCAAAAAAAAAAAAAAAATGTGCCCTCACTTTCAAGCCTTTGTTTTAACTGGTAATTGTAGAAAAGCTAAGGTCAAATTTCCCACATCCTCCCATCGTTCTCACCCTCCTACATCCATTTCCTGTCGGTTGCTCCACAGCCAACCCCATGGGTGCCTTCATAATTTATATGCCTCTAATATTACTTTACATTATCTCTGCACATTTGATTCACATGGGTGCTAATATTGAGTGATGGCATGCCATACTCTATGATGACAAGTGCAATGGGAATCATATGTGAGGTTCATGGGAAATGGGGTCATGTTCCAAATTCAGAGTTTGAAACTTTTGACTCTAAGCATATGTGTCGCAAACAGAGAAGATGTGCTTAAGTGGATTTTGAGTCATTTCTATATTGGTATTTTAAGGACATTATACATTTTTATTTCTGCAACATGCAACGTGCTTTAATGTTGTTCCAGTTTCTTAATACGAATATGTTTAACCATGCCGGAAATCCTGTAGGCTTGTATTTTAGTGTAGAATTTAAATAAGATATAAAGAACCGGAGTACAAAAATGGTCATCAAATGTTATGTACCACATGAGCTGGAGTCTTTGTTGCACATTGTTGCTTTATATGACCGATTTGACTTATTTGTCTGTGAAACATCTGATTTTTTTTATAAATTTAGTTACAGTATGGAAATCACAACCCATTAGCAAAGTTATATGTGTTACTGAGTTCTTATAGTTATTAGCCAGCTTGATTGGTCACTTGAATTGAATCCGAACTTTAATAGCTCAAAAACAGAAGAATCTATAAATAATGGACCTAATATGATATGTCATAAACATAAAGTTATATGGCTCTAATAAATAAAACAACATATATATAAATATATTCTCATACCCATTTAAATAATGTTCATGCAATAAATCTGCACTGAGGGGATG